CAGGTAGATAAATTTAGGTATCTAGGTTCTACGATAACTAGAAAAAACGAAATTGAAGAAGAGATTAAGGTTAGACTGAAGGCGGGGAATGCTTGTTATTTTTCTGTGACAAAACTACTTAGTTCGCGCCTCTTGTCCCGCTCCTTAAAAATTAGAATCTATAAAACGATTATCTTGCCTACAGTTCTTTATGGATGCGAAACTTGGCCGCTTACATTAAGGGATGAGCAGCGTCTTAAGGTTTTTGAAAATAAAGTATTGCGTAGAATATTCGGACCGAAGAAGGATGAGTTAACCGGAGAGTTCAGACGGTTACACAACGCTGAATTGCGTGAGCTGTATCCGGGTAATATAATTGAGGTAATTTCATCGCGTCGAATCAAATGGGCTTGTAAAGTTGTTGGGCTTAGTAACGAGAGAATTCCTAAAAGGTTAATATTTGCTGGGCCGAATGGTAGGCGTCCGAGGGGTAGACCGAAGCGAAGGTGGGAAGATTGCATTAAAGCCGATCTGAAGGGACTGGGTTTGGACGGCGAACGGTGGAGGGAGGTGTGTAATAAGCGATTGGTGGTGTCGGCATCGAACCTTCGGGTTCGCTAAGCCTTATTATTATTATTATTATTATTATTATTATAAATATTATTTGGCTAACTATTGTAAACCTTCAATCAAACTATGTTATGTTTACAAGTGGTAAATGGTTGACTGTCGTGAATAATGGAGAGAAGAATAGTTGGAGTGATCAGTCAAATAAGAAGGCAAAAATAAATGATACTATTTATTTTGACGTTAGCCGACGTTTCGACCTGAAGTTCAGGCCATCATCAGGGCTAAGAAAAGAACCAGATAACAAGGTACGAGAAACATAAGTAGTGTAGGTAAAAAAATTAAAGTAAAATTCAGTTGTTATAATGACAATAGTAAGAACAAAGAGATAAATGATAATAAGTGGTACAACGTGTGGAATAATGAAGTAAACATAATGAAAAAAAAAAGGTAACATAAGTATTAAAATGGGAATCTTAGAATAAAATGTAAAAACAGAAAATATGAAGTTATATAAAAAATAGAAATAAACAGTAAAATTAAGATATTGTGAATAGAATAGTTAGATAGAAAATTGAGATGTAAAGTCTATCAAGATGTATAGACAACGTATAATATAATACAGAGTTAAAACAGAGCAGAGAGATGAAAGGAAGGAGGAAGGAAACTGAGAAGGTTGAAATAAGAAAGAGAAGGTTATGTTATGTTTATATTGATTGAGATCTCTTGCTTATGTTCATTTCATTACTAGCCCTTAGTCACAATTCTGTAACCATAAAAAACAATAAAAATCTTGTACACATCTTAAATATTTAGTCAGCAAATTATTTACATTTACTAACAGAAATGTTACCTTCCTCCTCCTCTGACTACTAGAGGTTTACCTACCTTTTTCCATTTGAAAAAGGACAACTGGGAAATCCTGCCCTGACCTCCCACACTTACCTACCAAATGTGTTAGTACTTAAATATCTTCAGTGCTTGAACCACGGTTAGTAAGAGAAAATATTATAATTTTTATAAATGAATTATATACATTACAATTAGTTTGTATAACTTTCTACATATTTCATATTTAATAGTTGACCGTTGCATTATAAAGGAAGGAGATGATCCGGGGTGGCAGTCATAAATAGGCTAAATAGTGATAAAACTATTTTATTGAATGGCGACGTTTCGACCCGACTTTGCAGGTCTTCTTCAGATAGGTGTTTCACTTAGAACTGCAATTCTAAGTGAAACTCGCAGTTCTAAGTGAAACTCCTAGTTGAACATACCTACCTGCAAAGTCGGGACAAAACGTCGGAATTCAATAAAATAGTTTTACCACTATTTAGCCTGTTTATGACCGCCACCCCGGACTATCTCCTTCCTTTCTACATATTTCATTTGTAATATTAGTTAAGATTCATGTACCATCAATCACTATATATTTTTAATTATTAACCATCATTAGTCGTATAATATATCTCTGATTGTATTTATAAATTTTCAGCTCTGATTATGACCCACATGTCTGGGTTCAAACATCGGCACTAATAAAAACCTTATAATGACTGCTTCCTGGATATTTATCACCCATGATATGTAGAACAGTCGACTAACTTTTTTCAATAATTATTTAGGGAAGGCAGTGGATCAGCTGATGCGAAGGTTGTCTCCTCAACTCCTCTCTCAGTTTTTGCCTATTTTAAAGCGGAATCTCTCTGATTATTCACGTAATACAGTTAAAGTGTACATCAGAGCAGTTGATATTTACTGTTGACATCTTTTTTTTTTGCTATTTTTAATTTATTTTTTTTCTCTTATAATATGCGGTATGATCAGCAAGTGATGGCCAGTAATTACATACATATGTATATATAAGCAGATAAATTTCAAGGGTGTCGAGAAAATGACTTTAGTGAAGTTTCATTGAAATCGGTACATTCGTTTAGGCGCTACAGACTATAGCAATGCAGGTTTTTCTGCATTTTTATTTTTTTTCTCGTTTGCATTTTTATTATTTTGTTTATTAACTTATCAAATTCTTTCAAAAGTCATATTTAGCACTTTTTCTTAACTTTTAATAATGAGAGATAGTTAATTATTTAAAATAAACCATGTTAAAGGTACTTACAATAATAATCAAAATCGTTAGAGCCGTTTTTGAGAAAATTATAAAAATGTGTTTCAGTGTTGATATAAAGTGGCACTTCCGGTTAGCCGATTTTGAGGTTGCTGTCACATCTAAGGCATATACCTATCTTAAATACGTAATATCAGTTTCGTACGACTTTTCGTTTTTGAGCTAGACTGCTAACATACAAACACACAGACCATTTTTCGGGACTTGGTCATTTCGACTCAGGGTATTCATTTCGACCTCAAAACGTGTATTTCCGTTGAAAACTCAGATTCAAAAATTTTCTTGATCCCAATACTTACCCTTACTATATACTACATATATACGTAAGTGAAAGTAAAAATAAATTGATAGATAAAATGAATCATTTAATTTACTTGCAAATTATAAAACAAGAAACAATTATAATAAACTATATTAAAGGGATGTTACTCTGAAGAGCATAGGCCTACATTTCTTAAAATATTATTCCAAAAATATAATTTTTCTAACCTTTTATTATCCAACCAACGCATATTACCCAGTATTAAAACGAGTTGAAGTGGCTTCATACGTCCTACCGCCATCAGTATTTCCTTGCTACATTTCTATACCAGGCTATTAGAACTCAGCAACCCTCCTGTATTCTACAGAGTCTAAAATTTAAATCCTCCATTCCATCTTGTATGTCTGACCTCTATCCTCCTCCTCAGTGATCTGCAGCGTTTGAACAAATCCTTGGTAATTAAAGCCGCCTCACTCTAGAATTCTATCCCTCCCGATATTCAACACACAAAATCAGTTTCCTCTTTCAAATCTCTCCTCTTTAAGCACCTATTTCATTCAAAATTCGATTGATCATGAAACACACTTAAGAGTCTAAGTCATAAGACTCTAAGTTCCCCCAGATATTAATTTGTTTATTTATTTTATTTTCTCTGTGTTAGTTTATTTTATATTTATGTATGCTTCTTTATATATTTCTATTACATTTATTTTTACTTTATTTTACCAATTATTTTGTAAATATTTAATTTAAGTTACGGACACAACTTATTTAATTATATTCTACATTTATAATTTGTTCTAAAGGAACACTAGTCCCAGAATAATAAAGATATTTTCATTTTATTATATTTGCTTCATATTAAATTCCTTCGAACATAACTTTGAAGTGGCAAATTCATTTGCCCATCAATATATTAAATGTCTGTATTTAATTTCAATTTAGAATAGTTGAACGTACAACCTATTTTTCTTTGGACTTGCCTGCAATTTCTTTTTGAACACCACATGTTGACTGAATCAAAAAATTTCATTGTATTCCTCATTATAGTTCTTGTATAGAATTATTTTTTAAAATTTAATTTCAATGACACAACAGTCAAATGTGGACCTATGCCTCCACAATGAACCTTCCCCATATGACTCGAGAACACTATAAAGATCCTGAATCCACTATTCCATTTTTTTTTTCTCCACTTTTAGGCTATAGGAAGTTTTCCAGGACCAGGGGGAAATGGCGGGGGATTAATTTCAGAGTTAAAAGCCTGGCACTGGGACGCGAATTCATAATTATTTTATCACAAATTATCTTCTATCAGGTTGCTGGGCCAATCCCCTATATTCTCTTCCTCCGAAACCACTGTACAATGCACACTTCGCCAGAAAATTACACTATAGACTAAGGTCATACACACTGCACAGCCTAGGACAACCTTCCCCAGGTAGCCTCCCCGGATGAGAGAACAAGTCTCCTGGATCCTAAGAGGAAGCAGCTTGACTAGAGGGCAAATTGGATTGATTAGTCCATTCCCTTTAAATTTAAATTAATCATAAAACCTAAAAGAGAAATAGCTAGACTGATCTATGGAAAACAACAGAGGATTCGCCCATAGGACTTAAATATTGGACAATGGAATATTTTTATCACTACACCGACTGAGATGGTTTTGACTACAATGATCAGAGTTGGACAGGTACCAAACACACACTTTGCAACAAGAAATAAGATGATGAGTAAGAGACAAATTGAAAAGAATTTCCAAATCATGTGTCACTGCACCGACTTCTCAAAAAAAGATACTTCTGAAGCATAACTTTTGGAATTAAAAATGACTGGGTACTTCATTTCTCTGACTTACATTTACGTATGATCACTGAAATTCACAACAATTACCATTAATCACTGACATTACTCAAAAATGACTGGTGAACCAACTCTATTAGAAAAAGACCTTTATAATCATCATTAATTAATTGTGAGAACAGTATTATAAATATCCTTAACTGTGACAGATTGTAATATTTCTGAATAAATAAAAAAATTAATTGTAATTTATTAACTTACAAGTACTTCAAAGTCAGGGATAGAATGTGTTCCAAGACCTGGTCTTTCAAAAGTTATTCTGTAAGTATTGTTTGAGGTATCAAATGCATCAACAGAACCTGTGAATAATCCATCCTGTGGAGTTCTTAACCTAGCAGTTACCTATAAATTATAAACATTAATTATTAGTATTAATATATATATAAAATATGCTTTATAAATTATTTATAAATAATGAATGCTTTATAAATAATGAATTATAAATTATTTTTGACTTTGTAAATTAAAATTAGGTCATCCAGTGAGTGATCAGCAAAGAGAACCTTTTTTATGGTAAACAAAATTAAAGTAATTTTACAATGAGTGTTTTGTTAGTTTAAAAAAGAAAATGACTAACCAATACAACAAATCATAGTTTATAGAAAAAAAATAATGTTTCAATATTTTTTTCAATTTAATACATAATAAGAACCATGTTTGATGTACTCCTTTAAATAAAGGAATCAGGTAAATAACTGATGGAGCTTTTACAAAAAATTAATATAAATAATATTTTTCTCTAATTTCTTTGATCCAGCACCATCAAATCCAAGTTGGCTGGAAATTTTTCAGTAAATGGAAAGAAAAAATATAAGAGATACTGGAGAGAAACACATGGACAAATAATCCCTTATAAGCAATATTTCCAATATATACAGAAACTTTGTTATAGTTACAGTAGGGAAAATGCTTTCTTCATTTTTAAAAAGATAAGATAAAGATCTAAAAATGTATAACACATAGGAGTTTAAAAGTGAATAAGCATTGATAGAGATGGCACTTTCACACGTTTAAGTCAATTAATTTGTTCATTCTATACAAAGAAGTCAAGTAAATACACTTACAATGTTATACTGATTTTCAAGAATGATAAAATACTAAGTGGTAAGTGACTTATTATAAAGAAACTGAACCAGAATGAATACAAATAATAAACTAGTCACAGAAAACCTGGCAGTAGAAACTAAATGGTTTGTTAATGTTTTTAAATTAAATGTAAACAAAATGTTAAAATACAACGTAAACCTACAACAAATAGATCAAGAACTACTGGATTAAATCCTTTATCTGTTGGTATTAAAACCTAACCTTTGAATTGAAATGTGTTTATTTTGATACTAAGCTTTATTAAATGAAACAAAGAATGGCTAATGCAAACATAACAAAAATAAATTCTAATTTCTCTCCAAATTTTGGATCAGAAAGTTGATCAACAGCAAATTCCAAGAAAATTCAAATTGATGTCTATTTTAACACGTAATATACTTTAAAATAATAATTCATAATTTTCAAAGTTGTCTTTAAACTTCTATAATTATTAGACATTGTTCAAAGTCATAATTTACCGTTATTTAGACTTTAATTTTTCATATTTAAAATTAAGGAGTTAGAACAAGCAATTATTTTCTAAATGGAAAAATGAAAATTTACTAATTTAAAATAAAAATGATAATAAATAATGTCAGTTGCAATTTATTCATTATTTTTTATAAGAGGAAACGTCACTTTGATTACATATAAGAAAGATTATCTATTATTCACTCTACAAAACCACAAGAGCTTCATTGTTGTAATTTTTGTGGCTTGTTCAAGATTTTTCATTTCAAATGTACATACGAAAGTTTAGATAAATAATATCCAGATGAACTATGTAATTTATAGAATGGTATATTATTTTGAAATTGTATGTATTTTCATAAAAAATAGTTCATACAAACAAGTTACACATATAATTAATTTCCTTGTTTGTTGTAGAATTATAATTTGTTTTTTGAAATTGTATGTATAGTTGATTTGAATAGATTGTACTCATGAATGATTTTTGTGGAACCAACACTTACCTATTCACAGTTCAAAATTTTCATTTTAGTGTTAACGTATATGATTAACATTTTTTATTTATACATTTTAATAAGACAGAATTGATGAAACTGAAGAAAAAGAAATACTAATGCAAGGTCAGTAAAATAAGGATTTTTAGTGATATCAGAATGTATTACGTTAGTTTGCATGCTCCATTAACATAAGGTTAGTTTATGTCATTTACAAACAATGAAATTTTTGGAATTTTCTCAGTTATTGATCAATAACTCGAATATGATACCCAATAATGAAAAGTTTTTTATTTCAACAATTACAGAACATTAAATTTTGCATCAAATATGTACCTAATATTATAAATTCGATACAGGAATATTGTCAAAATCAACAGTCATAAAATGGAAAATTGTAGCAACTTTGTCGAGACTTTAGTGTTATGTACGATAAAATTAAAAATCTTTTAAATAAAAATTGTAGGGCATCAAATTTTGTGTTTAGAGATCACCTTATATTCTGAATCCAAAAACTACATTAATCCCATGTGAGACTCATTCACATCAAGTCAGTCAAAATGGATCGCTCACTGTACAAATTTTAGCTAGCATCCTTACTAGATTAGCAATAAACTTCAAAATTGGCAAACTTATGGCTTTTAGATTATAACCAATGGGAAAATTACAAAAACTAAAATTGCTGATGCATAATTCATGAAAAAAAAAATCCGAAGTGGTGTATCCAATCTAAATAAAAATTATTATGACCTATGTTTAAATAAAGGTTTATTAAGACAAAATAATAATAGTTATAAACAAACAGAAATTTTATATGCCTCTTACTAATTACTGATTTTGCAATATCAACAATTTTAGTCTTATAAATTTTTGTCTTATCTTCATCGGATAAAGCTTGGATAGAGTTAGAGTTTCCATAACTAAGAAACCAATTGTACGTTTTTACTCAAGTTTTAATTAATTTCATACTATTAATTAATTATAAATAGCTCTTCCACAGTTTATGAAAAATAAAGGAATATATTATACACTGACAGGCAAAAAATTCCACCCACTTGATTTTTTCATGTTTTCATCTAAAAATATTTCTGCTTTGGATTAGTCTATTGTTTTTAATGAATAAATAGATAATCTTTTTGTTTGTTTTCAATTAGGAATATTAATATAGAGGACAATAACCCTTAATCCTTAATTCAATGAAATGATTTCCAATGTTTACTTTCTATGGAATCAAAATGTTTATTCAGTATCATTAGTTCAATGCCGTTTCTTGCAGCACATTTCTTAGTCTCCGGCTTTTAATTTTTTCAATATTAAGTTTAAAAATGCCTCTTAGTGCTGAGGATGTGGCACTTATTGATGATGGACGTTCCATTAGATATGCAGCTAATGCCATCGGAGTTCCATATGAAACTTTATGAGACGCCATCAGGCGTTTTCGGGAAACTGGTTCTTACAATAGAAGGCCCGGTTCTGGATGGCCTAGGGTAACAGAACCACGGGATGACCGGTTTTTGACTTTGAGAATTTTACGAAACCGACACCTTACCGTTGTTCAAGCGATTCATCAGCTCGAAGAGGATCGAGGTATGCAAATTTCTCAACGTACCGCTCGGAGAAGATTAAATGAATATGGATTAATGGCTTTTCGTCCAGTAAGAGGACCAGAGTTGACCAGAACTCACAGAGTAACATGGCTGGTTTTTGCTCGAGCCATTGAAGTATAGACGAATGGAGTGCTGTACTTTTTACAGATGAGTCAAGATTCGCTCTTCGATCTCCAGACGGGCGTGAAAGAGTGTGGAGAAGAAGAAACGAAAGATATGCAGCCTGTAATTTTTACAGAGCCAAACTTTCCAACGTGGTTCCTTAATGGTGTGGGCTGGGATTTCAATGGAGCGCCACACAGAATTGGTTGTTGTTTGTGGAGGGTCTTTGATGGCCATTCGCTATGTAGATGAGATTTTGGAACCTCATGTGTTGCCTATCCTCAACGAAATTGGCGATCGTTCTATTCTAATGCACGCCCACATGTCGCCCGCATAGTGCAGACGTTCCTTCAACAGAACAATATTGAGGTTTTAGCCTGGCCAGCACGTTCTCCAGCTTTGAATCCCATTGAGCATTTATGGGATAACCTCGGAAGACGAATAAGAGCGCGTGCAACACTTCCTGATACACTGCAGGACCTTGAAAGGGCTCTTCGGGAGGAATGGGCTATCCTCCAGCAAAGGGACATTTCCAGACTGGTGGAAAGTATGCCGAGGCGTCTTCAAGAAGTAGTGAAGGCAAGAGGAGGAAACAAGCGCTACTAAACGATGATGTAATTAATTTCTTTTAGAATAATAATGGTTCGTTTTGGAATCTTGGAAACATTGGAATCTAGAATCATTTCATTGAATTAAGGATTAAGGGTTATTGTTCTATATTGTCCTACATTCCTAATTGAAAACAAACAAAAAGATTACCTATTTATTCATTAAAAACAATAGACCAATCCAAAGCAGAAATATTTTTAGATGAAAAAATTAAGTGGGTGAAATTTTTTGCCTGTCAGTGTAGTTTGGACAAAAAAATTATTATAACCTATGTTAAAACAGAATACATATAGTTTATAAAAATGAAGGAATATATTATAGTTTGAACAAAAAAATTAGTATAACCTATGTTAAACAGAATATATATAGTAATAAACACATATGCAGAATACATACATATATAGCATAAACATATATACAGAATATATATATGTTATAATATAAAGGGGTCGTGGATTCAAATCACACTATGGCAGGTAATTATTTCTTCTGTTCCATCAGCTGTGGAATGACCCTAGGATCAGGAGACCCTCCTTGGGGCAAACCCAGTCTCTACAAAGAGGGTACTCTTAAGTTAAATAATTAATTAAGATAGAAAACATGGAGGGTTGAGAGTGATCTCAGTCTCATCACCACCTCACAACCGTTGTCCTTAAAATGTTACTTCCTGAAAAAGTACTGAGCCTAGGACCCTCTATAGGCTGTAATGGTACAGGTTTATTATTTAATGGTAATTTTATTTTTTTGAAAATGGCTAAAATACTATTGAATAAAATGTGATATAGTTCAATTAATTTTTTTGTTATTAGCTTTATTTATTTATTTTAATTTACAGGGCAAAAATTTGATGGTTATCTTCGCCTATTTTCTTTGATTTTCTGTAAACTTCATACATTTTTTTAATCTTATCGTGAAGTCCTGTCTCTTTTAAAAACTAGATCACTTGGTTTAGGCAACAGCGATCTTCAGTTAGTGCCTTCGTGAGGGATCTAAGAATGCCTAGGTTGGCCACTTTTCTGCTATAGTTAGAACAGTCCTAAAATTTTAGATGTGGCTCTTTTGTCATGAGGGTTAGACGGCTGTTCTTTATTTTATTTTTAATAAGAAATTTTATTGCTTTACATCCTTAGGAATTAAAAACAAATACATTAATAGCTTCATTGCATATTTATAAGTATATATACCTTTGTTCCAATTACTAACTGAAGTGGAATTTCAGATGGCAAATCTTTACAGGAATTTATATCAGCTGGTTTCCTTTGCTGAAGCTGCCTTATTCTTGACCTTTTACGATCAAGTTCCCTACGTTCCTCTTCGAAAAATGCCTAAAATTGATAAAATCAAAGCCATGTTATCAAGAATTGAGGTGAGAGAATTCATTAATACAAATTCTTAATAATACCTGAGAACACCTTCTTGGTTTGCCCATCATACGTCTCATCCTACACCATTCAACCCTAGTAAGCATGTATGTTTTTAATTGTGGAAAAGATTCTTTAAGACATATTGTGAAATCATTTTCACCTCCAAAAAGAGCACTAAAATCAAATGAAACAGTTATGAAAGTCTAAAATTTATATAACATTTATTTATAAATGTTAAATGAGCATACCTATCTATATTACTATAAAACCATTCATAACAAACCCATTTGTGAGCTTTTGGGAGTTTTAAAAGATTCCTAAGTCTCATTGCAATTTTTTGTCCCACTTTTCGATCACCACTATAAAAAAACATAAGATAAAAATATTATTCAATTTATTATATGAAAGTAATTATACAATAAAAAAAAATTTAAATTCTTCTAATAAACTATAATCATAGACTAAATTTTACTGAAATTAAATTTGATAAGCTAAATGTACCGGTAATAGACTGTTTTCAAATCATTAACAGATCATAGCCTTTATATATCCAAAAGAGACTGCAATATTTGCAGTCTCTTTTGGGTATATAAAGTCTATTATCTGTTAATGAGTTAAAACTCATTGGACCATATTGGATGGATTTGCAGGTAAAACACTTAGGAGGGTGATGTTCGAACCTCTAGTGAACTGAAGCAAGACTGGGGTAAGTTTCAGGGAGGTTTCCTTCTTACCTTTCATTAGGAGATAAGTTTGAAATATTTATTAATTCAGCTGAAGTTTGTCATTTTAAGTTTCGTGTGCATTGTAAACATTGTGCTGAATTTATTTTGAATTTTTATAATTATATTAAAAAAATCTATTGACCCCAAAACCTGATTGTCTATTACTGGTGCAATACACTGGTGTCAGAAGATCCTAAGTTTGTCATGAATAATTTACTAATTGACCGTATAGAAAAAAAAATCATATAAGAGTGTATTTTCTCATTGTTCCTGAGCATATAAATATAAACGTATTTTGTTTTAATTTTTTTCTTAAAGTAATAATTTAGTTAGATTAAAACAACTCCTAAATGTTTGTAATTATAATTTTGGTATGGTTTTTCATCTATAATATATTGATAGATTTGAACTCAGATTTTTACAGCTAATAATAATTTAGAGTCAAATTGTCAGAGGATTTTATATCATTTAGCATATGACTTCCATAAAAATATTTTATTAAATTAAATTTATTTTGTTTTGAACTGTTTTATTTTCAAAATGCAAAAACCTTGTAGAAACTACTAGAAAATCCTTAGTAATTTAATGCATGCAAACACTGCAGAGGTGCATCTAAATTGATTGATTTCATTCTATTTTCACTATCTTAAGTTCATTTAAACATCCAATATAACTTAAAGCTAGTATTATTTACCATCCATTCTTTCATTTCATGTAACACTCACAACTCGTCTTATTGAACCACCTATCTTAAGTCATTCAATCTTAGGCGCATTTTAAAATCTGATACTTCGGGAGGGAGGATAAATCAAAATAACACTTAACATATCCATAAACATGATGGATTTCTATTCAGCATTGTGTAGTTCTTGTGACCCTAATATTGTAAGACAAGGAGACGGGGTGGCCGAATGGGCTAACGCATGTGCACACCCTACCGTGCACTCCTCTCCTCCACATCCCTATAAATTGCATATGTTGTATTCCTTGTAACTATATATTATAAAAAAGCCAATGTTTCCAAAAAAAAAAGTGAATGCACTGTCCCAAAATAGCGTCCAAACATGGCGGATTGACGACTTTGACTTTAGTTAGTATTTTGGTCACTGAGAATTGGCATTTTGTCATAGTTGGTATTTTTTTTTTTTTTTAAATTGTTAATTTTTTATGACAATTAAATGATTCGTAACTCGTATGCAAAACATGCATTGCCCGGCAACCAGATGATTGATAAACAGAAGGTCGGAGGGGAGGTGATGAGGACTTTTAACCCTGGCATTAATCTCCTGCCCTCTTCCCTCTAAAAAGCGAGGAAGGAGTGGACAAAAAAAAAAAAAAAAAAAAAAAAAAAAAAAAAAAAAAAGGTAGTATTTAATCATAGTTATAAATTCATTGTAATATAATAACAAAGACCACATGATCAATCTTTTCTTTAAATGAAAAAAATTTTCCATTACTTTGTTTCAGGCCAAAAAGATATTGGTATAAATAACAACAACTGATGTGATGCATTGGCCCATAGGCTGTATGCCCCACCCCACAATGCTAGACATACCATCCATTAATCCAGGTGTTATTAATGCCACTGGCTGTTGCATGTTTTGTTTATGCTTCTGGTGAACATGAGGCCAAATAGTGAAATGTTACAGTTAAAAGACTATCTAAATATCACACGAAGGTACTTTATTGCAATTTAGTGTAAAACGATATTCTTTAATCTGTGACTTCATCTTTAGATACTTCAAATTTATATTCATTGATCATTCCTAAAAAGAGTCTAGTCAATGAATGCTCAGAAATGGGATAAAGAAAGAAATGGAAGGAACACAATTTTTGACTTTGGGACATTATTCGGATTAGTTAAGAGGTAAACATACTAAAAATCAATACCCTTAGGAGCTGAGTGTGACATGAGAGGGCAATCAAAAGGTCTCATTTTTTGCTTACATCAAGGAAACTGTCCTAGCAATAGGGATTTTCTACATAAAATTATACCTTATAAAATTTGGTAAAGGATTGATTATGTTCATTTATTTACTATCTTGCATAGTTTTTAAGATATCTTTCTTCATTATTAAAAAAAATTTCATCTCATATTTATATTTTCATTTGAATAACTCTTTATCTCTTCATTCTATAAAGTCATGAGGAAGAAAGTTGTTGAATATCAGCTTTCCATAGAAATATTTTTCTGCTTCATCTTAAACTTTTCAAAGGTTTGAGAAATTATAACTTATGGTATAAAGTATATATAAGGTGAGAAATTAAAAATTCAGAGATTATGCAGAAAAATCCAGCTTTCGTATTATTATATTACACTGATTTAATATAAGCCTATTCATTTTAAGGAAATAAAAAAGTATGACTATCACTCGTTCAAAGAAAGATTTATAGTAGATAATACATTATTGCTAAATTATGAGCTTGAAATTTTCAGTTTACTTATTGCTATAAATAAATTTAACTTTTAAGTTTCTTATTATTATAGTTCTTTCTCACTTTTAAAAGTTAAAAAACAATAAAATTGTGGCTAATTAAAATTGCTATTGTATGGTAAACAATCTGAATCAAATTGATCGTAATCATTCAAATTCCTAATTTTTTCACTTCATCATGTGCAATGCATAATTATTTCTACGATACTCAATATTATCCTTCAATTTCTGTTTAATATTGTTTAAATATAAGAATATTTACAACACTGGTGAAATATACTACATGAATGTAAACAACACTCAAGCCACTTCAATGTTTGATGATGAGCTTGCATAATAAGCAAACACTTCTGTGCAATTTCTTCCACAAGTTCACAAAATTAGCATACACATCGCAAATAGCAAATATTGTGAAATCTTTTTTCCAAGTAATATTATAAAAAAGCGGTCCTATGTCTATAACAATGTCAAAATGCTTCGCTTGTAAATTTTGAGATGTTGGCTTGAGCACTTTGGAAAAAACTTAGTTCCTGGATTTCCTCATCCCATCCTCCTGGAAGAAAGCTAAATGAAAAGGAGCTCATTCCAAATAATTAAAATTTCATTAGTTTTCTTATTTATTATATTTGTTGGAATAACAAAAAAGGATTCACTGAATCTTTTTCAGCTTTGATCATGATTGACAAGCACCAGTTGAAAGAGGGAGTGCTCAATCTTCTAAAACAGTTTGATATCTGAAAATCATCATTTTAGCCATTGCTATATAGTATGTGATTACCACTGTCTCCACCCTCGTAAGAGACATGATAACGCTGGTAGCAGGAAAGGGAGAATATTTCTCTAACCATACAATTATAAAATAAATTACTATGCATCCTTAGTTTAGAAGCTTTTTCATTCAATTTTTGTGCTGCTCACTAGACGTGGAAAGAATACTTCCACAAAATACTTCTAAAGAGGTGCAAATATCATGGGTCATACCCATTCCACATTTACGGAGTGTAATATTTGTCACATATCTATCACACCAACTTGATATGGGTGAGGTCTTGATGGTCATATTGTACCACACCTCTGACTGACCAAAAGTAATCGCAACACCGCATTATGAAATAGTAATCATTAAAAAAATTCTTTATACTTTTGGCTAGAAAGTTGGAAAAACAGATTTTCTGTATGTTACATATATACAAGGTACAATACTTTGTATTGCATTTATATACACATTACAAGGTATTACAAAATATATAATATACGTAAACATATAAATTTGCTTACATACACAGTTAGGGAAGTGGAATGACGAGATTAAGATTTAGCTATTCAAATAAAAATTAACATGAAAGACAAAAATTGTTTGTTTTTCCATTTTAAATTGTCATATGAAAATGAATGGTTATCTAGGAAACTATGCAAAATAGAGACAACAAATAAAGGAAATAAAAATCCTGTAGCAAATTTTGTAAGGTATAGTTTTATGTAGAACATTCTTATCGCTAGGATGCATAGTTTTCCTGATGTAAGCGAAAAAAAAAGTGACCTTTTGAGATAACTAGACCAAACAAAGTCTCAAAGTCCAAAATTGTGTTTCTTCTATTTATCTCAATAATTATCCATTGACTGGACTAAACTAGTTTATATAGTTTTTAGGGACTGCAGTGAGGAAACCTTTGTATGTATCAATATGATTTAGATATCTATTTATTATTATTTTCACAAGGGAATCATAAAATAAAATGATATTCACAATATTAGTATAACTGTGATCATTATAATGTTTAGTTGAATGTTTTCTATAATTAAAGGAGAGGGTAATGGCTAACTAACCAACTTAATGAAATCAATAAGAGAGAATTAGTGTCAAATTACACCGGTATTTACAGCGCATATAACTATGAAAATATGTTTAGAAAAATAAATGTAACTTTATTTAGGATACAAAAAATAATACTAAACAGTTATCTAGAACAAATTAATAACTAAAACCTAACAATAAAATAGTGCTAGCTGCTATCACATTGTATACTTGTTAATAAAGAAAAACTAATTATCTAATTATAAAAAAGACATTAATCATAAATCAAACATTAATAAATCAACCCACAATAAAATAATAAATAATACCTTTCAACCTTTGTTGGAATTGGATCTGCTTGTTCTTTAGGTTTCCTTCCCCTTTTACCAGGTGTTTTGACACGTGACTTTTTTTCCAAAGCCCGAGGAACAACTGAAGTACTAATAACATCATCGTCATAGAACAGTCTATTTCTTTTCCTGATCCTTGCCGGCTAGAGAAGATAATATACTATACACAAACCTCAAGATTCAATACAATAATATAAGATGCTTTAAGAAAACAAATGCATTGAAATAACAACATACTAATAATCATCTACTAATGCTTTCTTTCAAGATAAGAACTTTATTACTATAAGATTCAAAGTCAATACAAGAACAATACTTACAGAGAAGGCAAAAAATAAAACAATGTTTTTAGACAATCAATCCTTGGTTACAATTTAAAAATGGTTATTATAAACACTAAAGTAACTTAGGACTTATCTCTTATTTAAATAAAAATGCATTAATTACACTCAATATAATCACAGAAGTTTAGAAACAACCACCTTGAAAACAATACACAATTTCTTACGAGTAAAATTTAATGCAATGATTTATACCTGAAATAATTTATAATTACTTAAATTTTGAAATGATTCTCACCATTCCTCTACGATTTAGAACTGGCTGAGATGCTTGAGGTTTTGGGGGAGGGATATCTCCTACACGATGAAGACCAAGAGAAGCCGGACCAAATTCTTCCATTGGTTCTTCTGGAGAATCACTTGAAACTATCCCATTTTTAAAAGATAGTAATGCTTCAGATGCATCTGTAAACCAAAAATCATTACATAAATATGACAGTAAAACACTCACAGTCAATTAATAAGAATCAAAAGCACTTTACACTTAATCCTTTCTTCTTCATCTTGCATTCTTGATAAACTCTGCATTTCTCAAAATTAGTTATTATATTGAAGCATTTTAAAAATTTATTAATATAAAATTATATTTAATAAACCATAAAAATTATTAAAAACAATAACAACGATTTAAAAATTATTAGAAGAACTAAATTTTCACAGGCATTAATTGTTAGTTAAAAGGAACCAGAAATAAGCTTAAAATAAGGTAACACTTTAAATTTAAAATCCTAGTACTGGACACCACAGTCAGGTACACTGATTGCTTAACACATAAATACATAACCTATCTTGTAGGAAAATACAAATTTAGATATACGCTGACAACCATAATTAGGTGAGCCCAATTTATCTTGTCACAAAATTCAAATAACCTCTTAATCTTTGATATTTAAAGCATATAAATATTAAACAACAAAGGTGAAATAAAAAATAGATTAAATAGAATTCAGAAATTCTTTGGTCCCGCCCATTGGAGTAGAGGAATTTGAAATTTATAAATCTAATTCGAAATAGTAAGATTTGTCTTATTGAACTACACTTAATTTGGGGACTTAACATACGTAAAAATGAGTTGAAAATTAAGTAAAATAATTATAGATTTAGTTTCAAACATTATGGAGACAGTTTAAACCTTTATTAACTTAAAAATAATAATAGTAAATACAAATAAACTCACTTTCAAGTTCGTCCGCCATGTTGACGTAAACTTTGATATCTACCAAACTTGCCAAACTTAAAGGAAAAAATTCAAATTTCGCAAACAAAAAAGTAATTTTAACATATTCTTTTTTTTTAAATATATATCAACTCAGTTTTATTATGTAATCATAGTTTAATGTAAGCAATTTTATTATATACAGCTACTGATGACTGTATAGTTAGTTATCAATTTCAAGTATTTTATCACTTCCTATTATTTAAAGTTTGATCTTGTGGTAAATTATTTATTATTATTATGTGTTAGTATAATGTGTTAGTATGAGTCATTTTTCGTATTTAAAATATTTCATTTTATATTTTAATCAAAAAGAGAGAACAATTTGTTTACAGTTGATCACTTAACTGAAATTTATTAAGAAATGGATTATAATTTTGAATTAATATTATTTGTTTCAATGCATTTTCTTGTATATCAAAGTGAATCAGCAAGACTTAAGGATATAAAAAAAAAGGCTAAAGAACTGACAGAGTATCTAGCAGTGGTTGATGCTTGTCACATCAAACAAAAACTTATTACTTCTGATAGAAATGAAGAATTTGAATTAGTTGAAACCTTCATTAATACAACTCTTACATTGGCTTGCCACTTTTGGTAGTTTTATTGACACTGAATAGTATTTAGTAATTAATAGTATTTTAAATAAGTTTATTTGTCATTTTAGTGATGATAAAGATGATGATGTTCCTAAATTATGGTACCGCCAGAGTCGATATAGAAACAGCAATATTGTAGAAGTTGAACTGGGTATGGAAGATGAACTTTCAAGCAATCGGGTATATATGAAACCTGATCATACACTAGTATTTAATCGAACAATTGAAGAAGATGCTGCATTATACTACTGTAGTGCCCATCTTGGAAAAGACCAAAATTTTAAATATAATTACTTAGTAGATAGTTGGTATTTTATTTATGCATATTTATTATTGCAATTTTTCTTAATTAATTTTCATTTTTCATTAAAACATTGTTATAGTTGTCAATGCATCTGCTGCAAAAGTTACTATAGGAAATTTGAAAGACTGGACAGCATTTGAAGAAAAATCATTTACTGAAATCAATAATAAATTTACAACCTCAAACAGATCTGATTATGAAGATATTCGATCTAAAGATATCCTTGTAGAAGTTATTGGGAGATGGCAGGCATGGGGAACGTGTGATGGCTGTAGGAAAATAAGGATAAAAATTGCTGAGTGTCGGTTGCAACCTTCAATAAAAGTGATATAAATTGTAATTTAATGTTTCATATTTTACTGTTATATATTTTTGACATTAATTATATGTTTCAGAGTAAAAATATTACTTGGAAATATTCACTGAATGACGGCGAGTCTTTTCTAATGAAGTCTTTTGAGATGTCTTGTTATTCTACTGGTTTGCAAAAATTGTATCCAAATATTTCGAATGATTTACTTGAAATTGGCAACTTTGCAATCACAGAACATTGTTATGCTCCCTGTAAAGTTTATTCTGAATCAAAATCATCTGCTCAATATAGGAATACTATTATTCTTGCAGAAGGAGATCACTTTACATTAATTTGCCCTGAGTATATTCATGTTTATTTCATCTTGAAAGTATATTTATAGTCTTGAATGGTTAAAATTATTTTATTTAGCTTAATCCAATCTTTCAGCTCCAACAACTAACATTAGTGTTCAATCACTAATTACTGAGAAGGGTACTAGTTCACAAGAGTTCCGCACGTATTACGGATTACGTGGTTTACAATCACTTTGATCACACTTGTTCATAGAATCCCAAATGCGTTCAGGTTTATCCGAAAGATAACGAAGGCGACCGATCTCTTGGGCCAATTACTATTAACTTTCCTGCCATTTAATTATTTCTTAAATAATCTTAACCATGTTCACTTTTATAGCCGGAGCCGACTTACATTTGAAATTTAGGCTACACATCATGAAACCTTTATTGAACTTGTACATATATTATAGATCTGTAAAAAAGAAATATTAATAGATAAAAACCTTTAATTATTACATCTCTGAATGCTATTTCACGATAATATTTTTCTTATTGATGATTTCCATTATTCATTATCTTGGAATTATCAGATATTCTTCGTCAGTTGTTTCCCTAATACGTTAATTCCTTTCTCGAAAATAAACACTTTTTTTTGTACCAATGACTACAATAATCCCCATTTTCGGATTACCAAGAAAAATAACTGCGAATAACAATAATTACACAGCTGATTCATTCAATAAAAATAACGATTAAAACGAAAAAATAAATTTTAAGTTAATAGTTAACTAACTGGCAAATCTACGAGTCTTGGATGGGATTGGACATTTTTGGTATAAATATTTGTCTATATAACGATTGATAGATACATTTTATTTATTAATGTTGTACAATTTTCTCGCACAATCTTTAATCTGACATTATTGTCATAAAAAGCTTCCTTGACAACTTAATAGTGGACTCTTATATCTAAGAAATTAAAAAATCGACGAACAATTTTAAATCCGACAGTATATTCATAAAAAGCTCCGACAACTAGAAAATAGTGGATCCGCATATCTAAGAATTCAAAAAAGTTACATAAACATGATGCTCAATCTCAAATCAAACAGTATATGCATACAAAGTGCCCCTCCCCCCCCACTAGAAAATAGTGGACCCTCGTATAATTAGACATCTAAAAAATTACATAAACTAGATAGATGATTGCACAATTCTTAAAAAGTCTTGCTAAAATAAATTATAAATTCAATTATTCCAACTTCTATTGACAAACTCGAATAACAAATAAAAAGATAATAGATAACTTCAAATTATTTATTATCCAATTGATAAAAAAAAATTTTATATACAGTTATAAAAGATGATATACAGTATATGTGTATTTACAGCCATTACTTGTAAGCACATGTCAATAAAAATGTTATTACTAAAAGCATTTTTTTTTTTAACAGGCCTTGAAGAAACGACTCAAACATTATTTTATGTATTTTTTTTCACAGTAATAATAAAAATTAATAATTAACTAATTAGTTAATACACATTTCGTTAATAAATTGTTTATAAGGAAGTTCCATGAAGGGAATACTTTTTTTTATTTAAAAAATTCATGAAAAGGGATTGTGTGATGGGGCAATAGCTGACGTCATAAAAGACGACAACATTCGGCTGTTTTCGGGATTTCATGAACAAGTGTGATCGAAGTGATTGTGAATCACGCGTAATCCGTGCAGAACTCTTGTGAATTAGTACCGCTGAGAAGCTACATTCACCATTGGTTAAGCAACTTTTGAGAACGCTTTTAATATTCTCTCCCTCTGCAAGATAGTACCTTGTACTATTCATAAATAGTAGATAATGAAAGAGCAGATATACTTCAAGAATGAGTTCCAAACAAAATGAAGTTTTGTATAAGTCCAACCTGCTAGTATGAAAATCACGACAGCTTGTGGCAAAATAAATACTAATTGTAGAAGAGGCTGCTTTATTTTATGGACTTCTATAATAAATGAAAACAAATTTAAGAAGTAAAACTACTTTAAGAGTATATATTGGATGATAGAGAAAAAAAAAAAATTTTCAACTTGAAACTAAGGGAATCCCTGCAGTAGTTGCATGATAGAACGTGAAAGTGCATAACATATCATGTTAATGTGATGCTTTAACTATAAAAGATCCATGTATTTTGGGTTCATCTGTAAAGAAACCTAAATTCTGAAAAGCAATCAATTTATTTAATATCAACAGACGAAGTATTCACAAAGGGCCAATTATTGGTCCTAGGAATGTTGATGCTCCAGATAGTGTATAACCTTATTTTATTTATAACATAAATTTCAACTCATGACAAAGGAGCACATCAGACTCTAGTCATGAATCGCTATGGAAATATGAAATATATGAGTCTAATAGATGAGTTTTTAAGTTTTGAATATGGGAATAATTTTCCCAAAACGTCAACTTAACATGTAAATCAACAAATAAACCAATCGTTTGTATATCTGGAACTTTTCATTGCCAAAAATAGAGATCAAAATTTATATTTATGCATAAACAAATAAAAAAACGGACCTTGAAAAATTTAAAAATGTGGCTCCTTTATCATTCCCTTTAAAAATATGATCATTAAAAATCTCTTGAAAGTTTGAAATGAATGGTATTGAAAAGTAATTCTTTGGAATAAAATAAAATGAAATGTTACTTATGAAAGGAAAATGGTTTGTGCTGAAAATAAGAATGGTTTATGGAGTGATTTTGTACAAATGAGTTAACCAGTCAACATTTCTTGGCAGAGTTAGCCATTTTTCAAATAAACATTTATTTTTATGTAACTAACATAATTATTTTATTCATTATTTTTCTGTTTTATTTATTTACCATATTATTTTACATTTATTATTGGACAAAAAATGTAAATGAATAAAGTATAAAGTTATCATTCAATTAAGGGTGAGGAGGGGAAAGGCACTTCTGCTCCCCTTCCCAATATTTTATTTACATAAAATAACTTTTAAAAAAATCAATAAACCATGTAAATAATAATGATATAATATATTACATATAATAAACTGATGACTAATGAGATGAAATTACGGTTTTTAGACAGAAATTACACTGGATTTATATTAATTATTTATAGTTAGATGATAACTGAAAATAAATACCTATAAAAATATAGACAATTTTTAAAAATGTCTCAGGATTGAATCCCGGCTCATGGTAAATTATTTATTCTGTTTCATTAGCCGTGGGGTGACCCTGGGGTAGGGAGACGCTCCTGGGGCACACCCAGCTTTCAACAAAATGGGTACCCTTAATTAAATAATTGATTAAGGGGGAAAACCTGGTAGTTAATTCCCTCCCTGCACAACTGTTGGCCTCGAAACAGTACTTTTCCAAAATAGTACTGAACCCAAGATTCTTCATGTGTTGTAGTGGTTTTTTTAGTTTTTTTTTATATACATTAATACCTCCTTTATTAAGTATTGATTATTATTATTATTGATACAATTTGAAGGATATATTAGATAATTATGTTACTTGTATATTAAGAAAATAAATAAAGAAGTAAAACTTGTTTTTAGAGTTAATCCAAAAAGTGAAGTAGTATGGGAAAAAAATGGTGTTGCAATCAGCCCAAATATACGTGGAGGGAACCTTCTGATAGATTCTTTTTCAAATTTATACATAATCACTGCGAGTTCTGATGAAGAAGCCAATTACACCTGCTTTGTAGATGATGTTAAAATGCAAGTTGTTTCTGTTTTTGTCCGTCAAAAATTAGTCATAACAAGTGATGGTAAAGTACTTGTATTGAATCATTATTCATATATCCAGCCTTTTTGTATTTTAATATTTGAAATTTATACATTATTAGAATAATTATATTCATGATTTAGATAATATTTTATTGCTTTAAAAAACAGCTTTAAAACCAACTTTATTTCAATACTTGGGTTTTTAGAAAAAAATTAAATTTTTAAAAGAGGTGTTTGGTCATGGGTTATTTGAAGATTGCATAGGGAAAGGGCCCACTATTGCATTTTAAAATCAAATTTTGCTCATGATAAGTATTTATGTATAACTAATTAAAAGGATGGAAAATAGTCAGGATATGCAGTCAATAATCATGTTTATAATATATATACATATAATTAACAAATTATTATTAAATTTTTTTCAGTTTTTTCACATTTTATTAATGACACTTCAAATGCTGATATTTCAAATGATAAAACCACAAACTTTTATTTATTAATTCTTAGTGTTATAATTCAAGATAAAATATTGAAGGGGTCCTCAAATATTTTGAAACAAAATAAAAAAAACAAATCTAGCATTAAAAGTGGTATGGATGGAGTTCAAGACCAAATATCAAATACCATATTCTTCTAAAGTCCAAGTATTCAATAAAATCAGTAGGTATATATTATATACATGCTGTCATTGTATATGCTTCTCATGTCTTTAATCTACTTTATTTTTTATATTTTGTTTTAGTTTACTTATCTATATTATATTTAATTTAAAATAACTAAAATTAGTGGTTTGTTATATTTTGTACTGGTTTACCATAAACTCAGATAAATCTTTCATAATGTTTATTCTTTTTTTTTTTTTTTTTTGTAAAAATTGGTTACCTAATCAGATATCACTTTTTCTTTCCAGATTTTTTCAGACATTTTAAATATCTCGGATTTATTTTTCTCTTTAGTGGCATCTTTTATAGTGCAGGAATGATTTTAGCTTGGAATAGAAGGCATACTTTTAAAAAAGTTGATTTTACTAAGGTTGCTGAAGAACGATTCGTTCACTATCTTGATTTCAATCCATCAAATACTTATTGACCTAACTGTTCTGATACAATATATTGTTATTATTATGAATTTATATTCTTGGTGTTATATACAGAGTTTTTGTTTCTTGTAATTAATTTATAAAATTTATTTATGGATGGTTAAGCAATAAATGTTTGTTGAATACATGTGGTCTTATCAATTTTCATATTATGTATTTTTTTAAAAATATCTTGGAATTTTGTTTGTAGAAATTATCATTTATTTACATGTTTGTGGTTTCAGTACCCTTACACATGACGTACTAGTGGTTTGAATACTATTAAGAGAATTGAAATCTATTTTTACTGTAGGAAAGATCTACATAAGATATATATTTTTTAAAAATCTATATTTGATGTTAGTTCAGATAGGTATAATAGTAAATAATAAAAATTAAGAATCATTTACCCCTTGATAAATTGACATATCAGGTAAAATTCCTTCCTTTTTCTTCAGTACAGGTTTAACTAAATACAGGACACAGTCATTATAAAGTTGATTCTTCTATTCTATAAAATTTTTTTGACCCATGATGATGATGATGACCCCCATGTTAGGGTTGAAATGTCAGCACAAAAAAAAAAATTAATATGGACTGCCCTGAATATTTATCACCCATGATATTACTTTTTTTAATGATGCATAAATTGGTAAAATCTCGACTAGTTGGTTATTTATTGAGAGATTTAAGATTTTGTTTTGAAATCTAGTAATATCTTATTCTCATTCCCAGATTTCTATCCAGTGTTGGGCAAAAATTATCTATAGCTAACAGATAACAGCTAAATTAGCTATTAGCCGGACCAAGACGCTAACTTTTAGCGTAAGTTAACTTTTAGCTGTTCTTACCGCTAACCGCTAATTATCTTTATCTGTATCTTCAACTAAAAGCTAATAGCTAATTCTTCGGATTTCATTGGTCTTAGAGTCGACTATTAGGTTTTGGGGGGGCGCTTTTTATGAAAATAATGTCGGATTTTAGGTGTGACCCCTCCCTACGCGGGCACCGACTTTTTGTAACTTTTCTGATTTAATCGATATCAGGGCCGACTATTAGGTTTTGGGGGGCACTTTTTATGAAAATAATGTCGGATTTGAGATTGGGCCCCCGGGCCTCGACTTTTTTTAACTTTTCCAATTAAATCGATATTAGGGTCGACTATTATGTTTTGGGGGAAGCTTTTTATAAAAATGTTATCAAATTTGAGATTGGGCACCCCGGGCCTCGACATTTTTTTAACTTTTTTGATTAAATCGATATCAGGGTCAACTCTTACGTTTTGGGGGGGGGCGCTTTTTATGAAAATTATATCAAATTTGATATTGGGCTCCCCGGACCTCGACTTTTTTAAACTTTTTTGGTTAAATCGATATCAGGGTCGACTATTATGTTTTGGAATTCGCTTTTTATGAAAATATATCAAATTTGAGATTGGGCCCCCTGGGCCTCGACTTTTTTTTAACTTTTTTGATTAAATCGATATCAGTGTCAACTCTTACGTTTTGGAGAACGATTTTTTATGAAAATGATATCGAATTTGAGATTGGGACCCCCGAGCCTCGCCTTTTTTTAACTGTTTGGATCAAATCGATACCAGGGCCGACTGTTATGTTTTGGGGAGCGCTTTTTATGAAAATGATATCGAATTTGAGATTGGGACCCCCGGGCACCGACTTTTTGTAACTTTTCTGATTTAATCGATATCAGGGCCGACTATTAGGTTTTGGGGATCGCTTTTTATGAAAATAATGTCGGATTTTAGGTGTGACCCCTCCCCCGGGCACCGACTTTTTGTAATTTTTCTGATTTTATCGATATCATGGTCTACTCTTATGTTTTCGGGGGCGCTTTTTATGAAAATGGTATCGAATTTGATAATGGGGCCCCCCGGGCCTCGACTTTTTTTAACTTTTCCGATCAAATTGATATATGGGTTCCATATAATCCGAAATGTTACAAAAAGTCGGGCCCCGGGCACTATCTCAAATCCAACATCATTTCCAAAAAGCGCCCCCCAAAACCTAATAATTGACTGTAATATCGCTTAAATCCGAAATGTTACAAAAAGTCGGAGCCCGGGGGCACTATCACAAAATTCATGGAAATGATTCGTATTCCGATATCATTTTCATAAAAATCTCCCCCCGAAACATAATAGTCGATTTAATCGGAAAAGTTAAAAAAAGTCGAGGCCTGGGGGCCTATTCTCACATTCGATATCATTTTCATAAAAAGCGCCCCCGAAAACATGAGAGTAGACCCTGATATCGATTAAATCAGAAAAGTTACAAAAAGTCGGTGCCCGCGGAGAGAGGGGGGGGAGGGGTCACACCTAAAATCCGACATTATTTTCATAAAAAGCGCCCCCCAAAACCTATTAGTCGGCTCTAAGACCAATGAAATCCGAAGAATTAGCTATTAGCTTTTAGTTGAAGATACAGATAAAGATAATTAGCGGTTAGCGGTAAGAACAGCTAAAAGTTAACTTGCGCTAAAAGTTAGCGTCTTGGTCCCGCTAATAGCTAATTTAGTTGCAGAATTATCTGCCGCTAATAGCTAATTTAGCTGTTATATGTTATCTGTTAGCTATAGATAATTTTTGCCCAACACTGGTCTGAGGCTGAAGGCGAACCATTTCCCTCTGAATGTGAGATCACGTTAGTAAATGATGTCCTGGGTTTATCACCGTTTCTGGTCACCCATATGCATGCCACTGGTTGACATTTAGGGCTAATGAATAATAGTACTAAATGTCGACCAGTGGCTATTATTCATAATTTGAACAGATAAATCAAATATTAATAACAAAGTGTTATCAATATTTCTGCCTGTACTTAGCAATTATAAAAAAATTAATATTTTCATCATATTTTTAGTGCAAGATTATCAAGATGATGAATGAGGTAGGAAATTTTTGACTGTATAGAGCATACAGAGAATTAAATCAAAAGAAGATACATACTATAATACATGAAAGGTCTTTGAGATGGGATGCTATTCCATTCAATTTTTCAAATTTTCTTTAAGATAAATAGACCTTTGTTTTTAATTTGTTGTCAAAGTCATTAACATATTGAGCCTATATGGTAATGACTTTGAGTTGCACTTTAATGATTTAAACTTTTAATTTAAAATTTTTAAGTGGGAATGGGTTTTTAATTCTGTCATACCATTTTTTTTTTTTTAATTTTTATTTACATTACATTATGTCATAATAATAAATTACATGTTTATGGTTGCAGTAACCTTACACATGACATACTGGTGGTTTGAATGCTATTTAGAAAATTTAAATCCATTTTTTACAGTAGGAAAAATCATAAAAAACCTACATAAGATATATATGAAAAACTAGGTTACAATCATTAAAAGTACAAGAAAAACTATAATTTATCTAAAAAAGATGTATATATATAGTAACATATTTTATTAGGGCCTTTATAAATTGTAATTGTTAACAGAACACATGTTCATGTTTTGTTCTTTTATTATTTTTGAACTATGTGAAAATAAGCATTTATATGTATTATATTTATAATTTCAATTTATTGCTATTTATTTTATTAATTTTAGTTGTGACCATTTGAAATTGTAAAAACAATAATAACATTTAACTAGCGATATGGATTATAAGGTACGATCTATTAGAGCTTACTGACAGGTCCTTCTCTGTCAAAGGTTGAATAGTAAATGACTAGTGGTATGATGTGTTGGAGGACGCGCGTGGCGCCCTGTAGGCGTTGTTCTAATGAATTAATTCATTCATTAATGCGCCATTGTTTTTCTAATAATTTTAGTAGCGCAACCTGTTAGTTGCCCAGTGAACTATGTATTTCATTTTGAAGCTATTTATTATTTCCTTTTGTAAATAACTAATGTTTGTAATATTTTTAAAATTAGTATTCATGAACTATAATTAAATAAAAATAAAAGGAGTTTGGACTTAGAGATCTCAGGGCCTCTCACTAACCTGAAAACTGGTCGTCTGAGGGCTGGTTATTAGTTTAAATATGAGCCTGGTTCCTAGGGCAGGCACTCTCTCCAGAGTCACTACCTCTTCCTCCACAAAGGTTCCTGGAATCTGTCTGACAGTTTGAAACCAGACCATTATGTTATTTTTTGGTTTTACCTTCCTTCCTCTCCAATCTCTCCTAACCTATACCTCCTTTCTCCTTTCATTGGATTAACGTGGTTGTCCTGGGTTTTCCTGCAGTCCTCCCAGTCTTTCAGGTTGTCCCTGGGAGCGTGAGGTCAGCTATCCTAGCAACATCAGGGGATTGCCTCCTTCGTTGCTGAGCCCTGAATGTGTAGGGGTTGTCCCCCTATCATTCTTGGCGTTCTTACCTTATCCTATCCTAGCAACGTCAGGGGATTGCCTCCTCGGTTGCTGAGCTCTGGATGTGTAGGGGTTGTCCCCCTATCATTCTTGGCGGTCTTACCTTATCCTATCCTTGCAACGTCAGGGGATTGCCTCCTCGGTTGCTGAGCCCTGGATGTGTAGGGGTTGTCCCCCTATCATTCTTGGCAGTCTTACCTTATCCTATCCTTGCAACGTCAGGGGATTGCCTCCTCGGTTGCTGAGCCCTGGATGTGTAGGGGTTGTCCCCCTATCATTCTTGGCGGTCTTACCTTATTCTGTCCTTGCAACGTCAGGGGATTGCCTCCTCGGTTGCTTAGCCCTGGATGTGTAGGGGTTGTTCCCCTATCATTCTTGGCGGTCTTACCTAACCTATCCTTACACTGAGACCCAATGTCTCCTAACCTATACCTCCTTTTTCCTTTCGTAGGATTACGTGGTTGTCCCACGTTTTCCTGCAGTCCCCCTTGTGTCTTTCAGGTTGTTCCTTAAATGTGGTAGCAGAAATGGCCCGGGAATATCACGTGATTATAGGGTGTGATATGTTGGGGAAGATGGGTACGCGAATCACGAATAAGGGGGAAACGTGGAAAGTGGAAATAGGAAAAATTAAATATACGAGCAAAGCGGTAATAAGGAAAGAGGACTTTAGAGCGTGTATAGGAGTGATATGTCGAGCGGAGGATTGGAGATCAGCTGTGAGAAGGGAGTTTGAAGATATTTTCTTTAAGGAAGGGAACACATTGGGCGCGACTGGGAGGACGGTACACGAGATTCCTCTGAAACAAGAGAAAGTGAGTTACGTGAAGGAGAGATACCCACAAGCTCTTCGCCAACACATCAAGGAAGAAATACGAAGCTTGAAGGAGCAGGGAATAGTCGTGGACAGCACATCACCATATAATAGTCCACTATGGGCGGTAAAGAAAAAAGTAGCGCCGGGAGAGAGTATGGAGGAATATCGGGTAGTCATAGATTACCGCAAACTCAACGAGAACACCGTAGACGAGAAATACCCGATTCCGAAGTTTGAGGATATTTTGGATAGGTTGAGCGGGGCAACGGTGTTCAGCACTCTGGACTTGAAAGCGGGGTATCACCAAACTAAAATGCACCCGAGAGACCAGGCGAAGACAGCGTTCACGTTCGAGAGAGGGCACTACGAATTCACGAGAATGCCATTTGGACTCAAAAATGCCCCTATAACATTCCAGAGGCTGATGGACAAATTCCTAAGGGGGATTGACGAAGCGGTGTGCCACATTTATATGGACGACTTGTTGGTATTCAGCAAAACAGAGGCAGAACATGTGATACATCTACGGAGTGTATTTGAAAGAGTGAGACAATTTGGGCTGAAATTGTCCAACGAGAAGTCGCTGCTGGGACAAGACCAGATAAATTTTTTAGGCCACACGATTTCAAAGGATGGAGTTAAACCTGATGCAAGAAAAGTGGAGGCAATAAAGAAGATGAAAATTCCTCGAGATGTAAAAGGGATCAGGAGGTTGCTATTGATCCTTAATTACTATCGACGGTTTGTGCCTGAAATGGCGGAGTATCTGGTGCCCCTTAACAATCTATTGAAAAAAGGGAGTAAGGGAGTGGTATTAACCCCAGTAATGGGGGATAATATTCGGAAATGTATGAGGTGGCTGCAGGAGGAGCCAGTATTGGCGTTTCCGGATTTTGCAAAGGGATTTACCATTACAACGGACGCTAGTGAATATGCATTGGGGGCTGTGTTATCCCAGGAAGGGAATGGGGGGGGATCGCCCGGTAGCATATGCCAGCAGGCGCCTTACAGATGCGGAATCTCGATATAGTGCGCTAGAAAGGGAGCTGCTAGGAATCGTATGGGCTATAGACCACTTTCAACCGTACGTCTTCGGAAGAAAATGCCGCGTTCATACCGACCATTAGAGATGGGCAAAATTGTACTCTGAGTAAAAAGTACAATTACAGAGTAATTTACTCAAATACTCGCCCGATTCGAGTATCGAGTACTTCAATCACTACTCGACCTCATGATTGACGAGTACAAAAAGTAATCAGCTGGCCTCGTGAGTACTTTCTATTTTCAAATCTACTCAGCAATATTTTACTCTGAGTACTTTTCAAAGTAATCGAGTATTTCATTATAAAAATTACAGGAGTAGAATATTTAATATTTCTTCCATATTTAAGTCCAATGTAATCTTATGGGGCTATAGTTTTTTAAAATAGTATCGATATTAATGTAAATCAATAAAATAAAGAATTATTAAAATATTTTGGATTTAATTAACTTTGGGGACCATTTTTTTTTTCTACACCAATTGACTTTTATGATAATGCTGTCGGATTTCAGATAGTGCCCCCGGGGCCCGATTTTTTGTAACTTTTCGGATTATATCGACATCAGGTTCAACTATTAGGTTTCGGGGGGCGCTTTTTATAAAAATGATATCGAATTCGGGATTGGGTCCCCCGGGCCTCGATTTTTTTTAACTTTATGGATTAAATCGATATCAGGGTCTACTCTTATGTTTTGAGGGGCGCTTTTTATGAAAATGATATCGAATTTGAGATTGGGCCCCCCGGGTCCCGACTTTTTGTAACATTTCGGATTATATCGATATCAGGGTCTACTCTTATGTTTTGGGGGGCGCTTTTTATGAAAATGATACCGAATTTGAGATTGGGCCCCCCCGGGTCCCGCCTTTTTTTAACTTTTTGGATTAAATCGATATTAGGGTCGACTATTATGTTTTGGGTAGCGCTATTTATGAAAATAATATCAAATTTGAGATTGGGCCCCCCGGGTCCCGACTTTTTTTAACTTTTTGGATTAAATCGATATCGGGGTCGACTATTATGTTTTGGGGGGCACTGTTTATGAAAATAGTATCGAATTTGAGATTGGGCCCCCCGAGCCTCGACTTCTATTAACTTTTTGGATTAAATTGATATCATTTTCCCGATATCATTTTCATAAATAGCGTCCCCCAAAACATAATAGTCGACCCCGATATCGATTTAATCCAAAAAGTTGAAAAAAGTCGGGACCCGGGGGGCCCAATCTCAACTTCGATATAATTTTCATAAATAGCGCCCCCCAAAACATAATAGTCGACCCCGATATCGATTTAATCCAAAATGTTAAAAAAAGTCGGGGGCCGGGGGGCCCAATCTCAAATTCGATATAATTTTCATAAATAGCGCCCCCCAAAACATAATAGTCGACCCCGATATCGATTTAATCCAAAATGTTAAAAAAAGTCGGGGGCCGAGGGGCCCAATCTCAAATTCGATATAATTTTCATAAATAGCGCCCCCCAAAACATAATAGTCGACCCCGATATCGATTTAATCCAAAAAGTTAAAAAAAGTCGGGGCCCGGGGGGCCCAATCTCAAATTCGATATAATTTTCATAAATAGCGCCCCCCAAAACATAATAGTCGACCCCGATATCGATTTAATTCAAAATGTTAAAAAAAGTCGGGGGCCGGGGGGCCCAATCTCAAATTCGATATAATTTTCATAAATAGCGCCCCCAAAACATAATAGTCGACCCCGATATCGATTTAATCCAAAAAGTTAAAAAAAGTCGGGCCGCGGGGGCCCAATCTCAAATTCGATATAATTTTCATAAATAGCGCCCCCCAAAACATAATAGTCGACCCCGATATCGATTTAATCCAAAAAGTTAAAAAAAGTCGGGCCCGGGGGGCCCAATCTCAAATTCGATATAATTTTCATAAATAGCGCCCCCCAAAACATAATAGTCGACCCCGATATCGATTTAATCCAAAAAGTTAAAAAATGTCGGGCCCGGGGGGCCCAATCTCAAATTCGATATAATTTTCATAAATAGCGCCCCCCAAAACATAATAGTCGACCCCGATATCGATTTAATCCAAAATGTTAAAAAAAGTCGGGGCCCGGGGGCCCAATCTCAAATTCGATATAATTTTCATAAATAGCGCCCCCAAAACATAATAGTCGACCCCGATATCGACTTAATAAAAAAAGTCGGGGGCCGGGGGGCCCAATCTCAAATTCGATATAATTTTCATAAATAGCGCCCCCCAAAAAATAATAGTCGACCCCGATATCTATTTAATCCAAAATGTTAAAAAAAGTCGGGGGCCGGTGGGCCCAATCTCAAATTCGATATAATTTTCATAAATAACGCCTCCCAAAACATAATAGTCGGCGCTGGTATGGATTAAATCGGAAAAGTTATGAAAATTCGATGCCCGGGGGCACTATTTCAAATCCGATAGTATATCATTATAAAAAGGGCCCCCCAAAACATGATGGTTAGTCTAATATCGATTAATGGGGGGTTAGGGTTGGTCAGGTCGAATATGGCCGCTATTATTGAAGGAAATAAAAGAATAATGACGGAGTAGTTGAAAAATAAAAAGTACTCTTTGTAGGAATATGGCTGAGTACTTTCTGTAATTCGATGTAACAGCGCGAGTATTTTCTGTACTTAACTAAATCATGATTGACGCAGTGTGAGTACTCTCAGTACTCGCCGCTGTCAGGCCGAGTACAGAAACTACTCGATACTTTTTCCTTATAAAATTACTCAAATCATGAAAGTAATCGAGTACTGCCCATTTCTACCGACCATAGACCCCTACAATGGGTAGGCAAGATAAAAGAGTCCTCGGCGAGAGTCACGCGCTGGAAGGAGTTCCTCAGCCAGTACAATATGGATATTATGTACAAACCGTGAAAAGAGAACGTAGTGGCGGATTGGCTATCAAGAGCAATACGGGTAAATGCCATAGAAGAGACAGGAGAGCCGTCGAGGGATGTGAGACAGTTCCTGAGGGAATGGACGCCAGAGGGAGAGGGAGGACAAGCGGTAGAAGAAGAGGAGGAGAGAGGTGATGCCCAGGAAGAGGGGAGCCCAGCGGGAGAGAGGTCAGCAGAAATGGAAGAGCTGGAGGACATTGTCAACGACAAAAACTGCCAGATTATCTGGAAGACCAGGACGTCGGGTCTAATGAAGGTACAGTACAGCAAGTACGGGAACAGCCGAATAGTTACCATTTGGTCACAGCCAGGAGCCAATGAAGATCAGATTTGCAGGGCTCTGAAAGACGCGTCTAAGCCAGGAAAAACCCACCACATGTACGTAGGGAACGAAACGATTTGGGGGAAAATAAAGACAATATGGCGATCCGAACGGATAGGCCAGACGCTATTCGGTCGGGCACTCCATAAAATTGGAACCACGTTTGCAGGGATTCTAAAACCGTTTCCGCTGATCGATCCTGTACCAGGTGTGCCATCGCTGTTTTGCTAAACAGGTCGATCAACGTGACCCACTTATA